GGGTTCCAAAAACCTCGAACTAGCAACAGACGGCGATTAATGTTCTCCTGCTAATAGCATTTTTGCTTTTCCATTTCGCTTTCCATTTCTTCAGCTCTTCGTTTCTTACAGTTATGACTTTGCCTTTCGAGTCCGAATACTTTAGCGTGGCTGGGTAGGCTATGAAGACCCTGCATTCTTGCTCTTCTAGCTTCTTTTGAAGATGTTTCTTGGAAGGAATGAGCGCTTTTCGGCGTTCTTGGGTGTCTTTTGCCAAGTCAGCTCGAACGGATTATCTTTAAGTCTAACCGCAGCATTCGCCAGAATCTTCGTCTTATCCGTGTATTTTAGAAAGGCTACGTGGATCGGTCTTGGACTCTTTCTGTTTTTGTTTAATTGCGTCGGAGTACGATGAGCACGCTCAATTTCGACGTATCCAAACAATGTTTCCAAGCCCATGTGCGAGGCTATGAAGCCTTGTATGAAAGCCACACAATTATCGCCTTCTGACTTTTCCGGAATGTTATAAAACACCAAGTTATTTCTTCGGGACCTGCTGCAAAGATCTTCAGCTTCTCTTTCTAGGTCTTCTAGCTGCTTTAAATGTGCCTTCCGCTTCATACTTTCTTTCATTTCAGCAACGTCGTCGTTGACTGCGTTTAAGCCTCTTTCAAGTTCAGTTACATTGCTTTTTATATTGGTAATATCGTGCTTAATTGTGGATAACTGATCGTTGATTTTGTCCAGCATATCGAGCTTTTATAGCTTCTTCTGTATATTTTTCAAAATGGCGTCGTCAACGAGCACGTGGGCTGAGATTTCGTCCTCGGAACTTGACACACGCGTTCGTTTTTCGCTCGGTTTTGGTGGCATCGCTCTTTAAAAAAGATACGTGTTTAGACGAAAGACTTTCTACTCATTTGTTTGGGCGAAACCTATCGTAAAGAAAGCTTGTTCAGGAGAACTCAGAAATGCGTCTACTCCATAGGCTCGTCCTCGTTCCAGTCTTAGTCGTCTGCCCCATACCTAAGATCAGAAATTTTGCAATCCATCCATCCGAGAAATTTTGGTAATCACATGACCGTGCGCCCGTACGTCCGTACAGACGCAGGGGGGAAGGGAGTCCGGAGTCTGCCCGCCGGAGGGAGGAGTATGGTATAGTGAGCCCAATGCTAAGGAAATTTCGTTCTATCCATTCGAGAAATGTTGGGAGGAAGCTAGTATGGGATGATATTGCACATTCATGTTATGATCAAGTGACAGCTGTCAAAACAGGGCATTCGCTGATTAGTATCACATGACCTTAATTCGGGCTCAAGTAGCGACCCATTGAAGTGGTTATCATTAGATCCCATCGACCGTAGCCCCCTCGGACACCTCATGAAATTTACACAACGTAGTTTCCCCCTTTTCTAATTAGGGTTAAGCACTGCCTTTACAGATTAGGGCTAAGCACTGCCTTTACAGATTAGGACTAAGCACTGCCTTAGGGTTAAACACCGTTTCTAAACTGGTTAGTTTCTTTTTTTGGGTTGGGGTTGATGCTATATGTACTTAAATTATTTCATCTCTATTCAGCAAATCCTCAGCGGTCTAGTAGTTAGCGTAGTATACTGGACCATCTGGGTCGTGGGCTTGAATCTTGCTGTTTTTCGTATCAATTTTTTTCTTTGAAACATTTCCAGCTTGAAATATCATCTAAGTGTGATATAAGTATGTGTAATCAAATGGTGACGAGTGAAATTAGGGAATAATTTCACGCGCGTTTTGTCCAAATCCTCATAATTTCCCGAGCCTTTATACCATTTCATTACCTATTAATATCATGGGTGACGAATTAGGTTAGCAATCTTGGATTTTTTTACATGTTTATCCTGGATTGTATCGATCGAGAACTCCACTCTCTCAAATGTTTAGACTTCAAATTTGGCTTATAAAGTTCAGAATTTTTCAGACTTTTTCGGCAAAATACCTGTTAGAATCCTTCTTGATGTGCTCTTGTGTGTTCAGGTTTTCTAAAGCGTCTTTTTGTGCCCTGACATCTTCATTTAATTCACAGCATTTTAAAACTTCGTCGCCATCTTGACACTGGGACGTACGGAAGGGTTGCCATGGCAATTTTGTAATTTCACATGTGAAATTACAAAATTAACGCTGAAATTTCACGCAAAATTAAGGAGTAATTCGTCACCTATGATATTAAAGCAGAAAATTTCATGAGAGGAGCAAGGGGCTACGGCCGATGGGATGTAATGCTGACCCATTAAAGTTACGTTCTTTTTTTAAGTCTTCCGCTGACAATTCGCACGCGAAAAGTCAGCCTTTTTCACAGGCAGGGAAGGCACTTGAGGAACGGACGCTTTTTATGGGTATTGTTTTATTCTCATTTTAAAATGTAACAATATTCTGGCATTAATTGAAAAATTACAGCACTGAGCTTCCAGTAAATAGACACCAACAGTGCAGGCATAAAAGGAAGGAAAAACAGGTTTATGATGTAGAATTAACAGACTAACAAGTCATAAGCATTACCATTATATTTAATACTTGTATATATGCTCATAATTAAAAACAAATATTGAAGTAAAAAATTAATCAACGCAAATCAAGCTATTCACGCAAAAGTACTAAAAACTTAAAATTCAGATGAAAGGCATAATTAACTACCAAATCGCCCTTTTTTACGTTCTTCATTTATTAAAAGTAAATTTCGAATATGTTTTAAACATTTCAAATGTTGCAGACCTTAGCTGAAGTCTGTTGAAAAGAAAACAAAACTGTGGAAATACAAGCTAAAACTATTTGTAAACCTATCATACTTTCTGTAATCTAACACAAGCCTGGAGAATTCTTTTGCAGTAAAGCAACAAAATCTCTGGTCACAGGCAAAGGAACATTTGGATGAACAAAAATTTTGAGGAACATCTTGCGATCCCAAGGTGGCATCAAAAGTCCAACAGTAACTCGCATTTCTTGAACTTGGCTGCGACTGATTGGTAGTGGTCTCCATCGCTTTAGTGCTCCAGAGTCTGGACACAAATCCTGGAAAATATTGTGTTTATTAGGGTGTTGCTAATGTTTGCTGGTGTATATTAGGTTGCAAAGCAGTGGACATGTTGTGATGAGGGTTCTCGCCTCCCACCAATGTGGCCCGGGTTGGAATCCCGAGGGCGACGCAACAGATCGGTTGAATTTGTTAAAATATTCATTTTCTAGATTTGGTGCAAGAATTTGGAACAGTGTTCCTCAAAGTATGCGAGTACTCTTGAACACAAATTTAAAGCTTCTTTAGATCAGCTCCTTTTACACATTTTAGAATTGGAGGATACTTATATGTTGACACACCTATACTTTAATTTATTAACTAAGCAAGATGACATGAAATGTAACATAAGTTTGTAATTCTGTAATTGCCAGTAATAACTTCCATCCATCTTCTTGTGTCATTTATATAGATCTATCTTTCTTTTCCTTTCCTTTTCTTAATTTCTTAATTCCTAGTGAAATACCTTATGTTTCCCTCTTCCCGCCTCGATTAGCGAAGCTATGTGCGAGTAGGGGATGTTTCTATGTTCATGTATGTTTGATCTTAATTTGTTATCAAATCATGCTGATGACACTTGATTGACTGTAGTAATCATTGCATTATCATTGTTATAAATGTTGCAGACCTTAGCTGAAATCTGTTGAAAAGAAAACAAAACTGTGGAAATACAAGCCAAAACTATTTGTAAACCTATCATAATTATAGTCATGCAAATATATTTATAATTTGTAACTTTTATTTAGATCAATTAACTTCTTTGGACGTTTATGGACTCTATGATTCACGTGGGTTATGATGCGGTGTTTCCTTACTTCGCTGCATTACGGACTATAAACTGCAGATGAATTCGCAGAGCTTGGTTTCCTCATAACACTCTCCTGAAATGGCCTACATCAAATCGTTGAACAAATTTTTGGATATGTAAACGCTGGAAAAATCAACTGATGTGGCATTGTTGGACTTCATTATCGTGAGTATTTGCTTGTGTTGGCGGACCCCGTGTTTTGGCCACGTTTCCTGCTGGAAATTAGCTTTATGTTTATGGAATGAGAGAGCTCACTTTAAGATGGTTTGAGTCACCTATTGCTAAGCGTAGTGGGGAAGCCAGAGGAAAGATTTTGTTATAAAACTGCGACGACGAAAATTAGGATCATGGTCAACAAAGGGGAACGGGATATCCATACGCACTATCAGTTTCCACGACAGTAGCCGCTAAATAGCAGCTTAAACTATAGAGGTTCCGTTTTGACACCTCCTTCCCGAGAGGCTTAGGCCCGTTCAGGCATTTGCCGGAGGCGTTAGACTTCCACGGCCATTTGCCGTCTTTACGGTTAGGTTTATGACAATCTGCGGTAATAAGAGATAGTGTCTAAAAGTAAACACGAGAGACTGATAGTGACGACGAATAACCACGAGTAAGAGTTCACCAAAATATGATATTTCCATCATTATGACATCATTATTACGTCACTTTATCAAATTATGATTCTTTAACCGGAAATATAACATTTTCGGAGATTGAAAAATGAAGAGGGGGATAGTGTAAGCCCCTTTGATTCCGCCTCACTTCCTGGCCTCTTTGTCGTCACATAATGTTTCGAAATGCTATCTTGTTTCTTGCAGTTGTGCCATCTTGAAAATCCCTCTCCATACAAAACCGTCAACTTGCTTCGTTATCAACGTTGTTCAGGTCGCATAACAGGTAAATAAACTGAATCCGCAAGGACATGCGACATCAGTCAGCCGTATTATGCTGTGCTCTTGTATAACGCTACCATACACGAACGCGGCAGTTAGAACAAATTTCGATATGCAATCAAGAACGTGACATTACGTGCAAAGAAAAAAAAATAGGCTTTTGGTCTTTAGCCGATTGGCAAAACAACAACCTTATACATGGAGCATGCTAATTGTACATTTCTTTGCCGTCAATGTGCGACTACGACGTGAAAATTCCTAATTTCGCACGTTTTATCGACAACGTGAACATACCACGGCAGGAGTTAATCGGCTCCTGACTACGGCGAATTTCTCTTTCTCTTTTTAAACTCGAATATTTTTGCAAAGAATTCAACTTCGCGAGAGTTCACCTACATTAGACAGACTGAGCGAGTTAAAATCCCAAATATGAGGCCAACTTTGATTAAGTTAAGAGACAAATTTTATTTCACTAATTAAATTTTCACTCACTTTTGATAGACCAAACATTTTTTTTCGAGTTTTTAGAGAAAATACCCAACATTCTGACAATCAGGACCTATATTTTTCAGGGCCTCCTTTAAGGGCCTTTAATTTATACAGGACGGACATTACCACAGTGGAACCCCGTTAATACGGTCACTAATGGCTCAACAAAAATTTGGCCGTGTTAAAAGGGTGGCCGTATTACAGGGGCTGGCTCAAATTTCATGGATTGAGGGCCGTAATGACAAATACACCCGACATCGCATTCACCGTGCTGTTCTCATGAATTAACAACCGGAATGTAGATATCGCGTACAGTAATTGAAAAAATACTCAAAATTTTCCTTCAGTACGTGAAACTCTTTTAAAATTCGGCTATAAATCGCCACAAGTGCGTTTTAAGTGTACTGTAGTCTGAAAGCAGTACAAGAATAAGCTCAGATCACTTGGTCAATAAAATGACATCTCACAGACATTTTAATTTTCTAAATTTCGAACGGATGGCCGTATTAACGGGGTGAAATTACAAGAGATTCTACTGTTTGGGATTTTAAAATGTGGCCGTTGGCGGTATTAACGGGTGACCGCACTAACGGTTTTTTTTTTTATAAGGAAATGTATAGGCGTTTTGCCGGACCGAAAAAAAACTAGCCGTGATAAAGAGGTGACCGTATTATCGAGGTGTCCGTAAGGCGAGGTTCCACTGTAGAAGCTTTTTTGCGTTTAGATTTTAGTCGGGGATTTCTGTTCGGAGGGGCTTATAAACGGAGGGGTTTGTTTTAGGAATTTTTACGGTTTTTGATCAATAGTATTGTTTCAGTGTTTATTTAAACCTTTATTTTATTTATTTGTTTTTTTTAGAGAGATTTCAGGTCCCGAATAGTTAGTCAAGGAATAGACCCGTTTCCGGAAAGAAAGGAAGCGGGCAGAAGCGAAAAAAAAATAGTAGCGGAGATACAGGGACTGCAGGGCTTGGACTTCGTGGAGGTACGCACTCTTCTAGTGTTGTTCCGAGGGTAGCTACTGGCACAGCCGTCTGTGGTGATGGGGGCACCTGCGGAGTTTGAGGCCTCAGAGCAGTGCTGGGCACTGGCAATTCAGAGGTGACACGTGCTAGCGAGGCAGGATTGACATCACCGGCTGGCATTGCTGAGTGTTGATCGGTCTCAGCGGGTTTTGCTGCGGCTACTAAGGCAGAGCGGTTTCGTGGGAGTGTGCCCCTTTCTGTTGTGACAAGGTAAGATCAGGGTTTCTCAGTTTTCTCGTCTCTCACCAGGCCACACCGAACTTGATCTCTTATCCAAACTCGGTCACCTTGTTCAGGTGTTGGCAGTTCCTTTGCTTTTTGACGATTGTCAAAGTTGCGCTGTTGGTTCAACTGATACGAGCTTTCCTTTTCTTCTACTAACTGGCGGTCTTTTCTCTGCACATTAGGGTACAAATTGGCTGGATGAGTTGGTATCTAGGTTTGCAGACGGTGTCCCGTTAGTAGTTCACTGGTTGAGTACCCATTCTGTAGAGAAGTTGACCTGTAAGTCAAGAGGGCGCTGAAGATGTCTTCGTTTATTCTCGGCGCGGATTTTGCTGTGCGAATGGCTCTTTCGACTTCGCCGTTCGCGTGGAGGTATTTGGTGAACTAGTAACATGTGCGAAATGGTACGCTTCTGCAAACTGTCGAAAGGCCTCTGCAGTATACTGTGGCCCGTTGTCTGACATTGTGACATGTGGAATGCCATGTGTGGCGAAAACCTCCTTGAGTGTTTTTATAACTGAATGAGAAGGCTCATCAGAGAGTTCCTTTATGTCAAACCACGTTGAGTAATAGTCAACCACGATTATATATATTCTTCCTTGAAAATCATACAGGTCTGTTGCAACCCTCTCCCAGGGGCGGGCTGGGAAGGACAAAGGCTTAAGTGGTTCTCTGGGGGTTGGTTGTTCCTTGTTCACCGATTTGTGTGGAGAGTCCTGCACTTATGTCCAGGATCGATTTTGTTAGCAAAAATTTGCTAGCAAATTGTTTTCGCAATTTTAGCAAAAAAGATTTAAAGAAAACTGCTATCAGAAAAGTATAGAGGAAATAGCAAATGTCGCAAAAATCGCAAAAGTGAGAAGAATTTTTCTTGCTATGTGAAAAGATTGAGTAACAAATATAGCAAAAATAGCAGGAATACCAAATTTTTAAAAATTCTACTTTTACAAAGAGAAAAGGCCAAGAAGGGCTTCGTGAAGTCCGCAAATTTCGCAAAATCGAAGAGCGCTGGAAATTCGGCTTTGTAATCTGTTAGCCCCGTGTTCAACTCTCCGACATCTTTGTCAGCACGTCTTATGAGCCCTAGTTCAACACGGGCTCTCCTGCTGAGTAATGAACACTTCTGATTATGCACCACATATATAGGCTCAGTTAACTTTGATTCTCTGTACTTTAGTGTCGTATAGAACAGACCTTTCACGGGTAGTTGAGTGTTTCCAGGACCGTTTAGAACCTGGGATGTCTTGGTTAATTCAACATCTTGTAGCCACTGGACATCATCGCTAAGAACAGTCACTGCCGCCTCTGTGTCAAGCTTGAAGCGTGTTGTACGACCATTCACTCCTATCTGTGTAGAACCAATAGTTCTTATCACTGCCGATCTCACCGAGGAAGTGTATGTCTTCCTCCTCTTCTTCTTCTACTGCATGTACCTTTCTCGGATAAGGTTTCTTGCTGAGACACAGACTGGAAATGTCCCTTTTTGTTAGAGTTACAATAAATAGTGTCTCTAGCTAGGCAATACTTCCTGTCATGGTTCTGGCGTCCACACCAAAAACAGGGACGGTCATTCTTGGAGGGCTCTTTTTTTGGACGTACAGGTGGGTTGTTTGTTGCTTGTTGTGAGAGCGTGGCTGACTAACGTAATCGACTTCATTTTGAGTTTCTACCCCACGGGCAACGGTTCGATTTTGTTTTCTTGCTTCAGCTTGTCTGCTCATGCGAGCAGCGTCCGCGAGAGTGAGGTCAGATTTAGCTTGTAGGCGGTCGGACAGTGTATCATCGAGGACTCCAACAATAATTCAGTCTTCTATAAGTTCATCCTTTAGAGTTCCGTACTCACAATTTGCGGCGAGGCGGTATACGTCTTGAATAAAGGTGTCCACGGATTCACGGGGTTTTGTCTTTTTCGGCGGGCTGCAAAATAACCATTGAGGGCTGTTTTTTTTTCGTCAAAGGGAGCGGTTGCTTCGTTTTGACGATGTCATGCGTACAATCGCCCATTGCATAGAGAAATTTTCACACCTGTTCCTGGTTTGATTTGTTTTGAAGACCAGAAGCTGTAGGCTATAGGCTGTATAGGTGGATTAACGGGTGGAGGCGGATTTTCAACTGCAGGAGCATCTTCGGGTTGGTCTCCCATTCTGTTTTATGGCGATGGATGGGTCAAGGCCACTGCCACCATGTAGTATCAGGCGAAGAAGAAAGGAGACTTCGAGTAAACACAAGCTAGCACGAAGTTTATTCAAGATGTCCGACCTGCAACCCAGCATGCAATGCAAGCCTAATCCTACACTTATCATCTAACTCGTAGAACTGTTGAGCTTTGTGTGTTATAAACTTGATAAATCGAAGCCTAAAAAGGATCTGACTGTCTACCCACTATTTGTGCAATTTAAAAGATTAAATCCTCAGGAAATATCTGTAAACTTGAGCATTGAAGCTATAGGCATGCTAAATGATATTTCAAAAAATTTGCCCGTGTCTAACAAATAAACTAGGGCATTTGTCTAACATCAACACTGGGACATTAATTTGCCTGTGTCTAACGTCAACACTGGGGCATTAATTTGCCTGTGTCTAACAAATACACTGGGGCATTAATTTGTCCGTGTCTAACGTCAACACTGGGGCATTAATTTGCCTGAGTCTAACAAATACACTGGGGCATTCATTTGCCTGTCTAACAAATACACTGGGACATAAATTGGCCTGTGCCCCACTTCAGCACTGGGGCATTAATTTGCCTGTGTCTAACAAATACACTGTAGCATTAATTTGTCTTTGTCTAACAACAACGCTGGGGCATTAATTTCCCTGAGTCTAACAAATACACTGGGGCATTAATTTGCCTGTGTCTATCAAATACACTGGTGTATTAATTTGCCTATGTCTAACATCAACACAGGGGCATTTATTTGCCTGTGTCTAACAATTTAAACGTTTGAAAAAATATCTACTTCTCTCTAACAAATACATTTACACAGTCCTTAACCAAAACTATGGCTACTGCGATAAAGGCGATTGGGGATCCAGAAGTCAAATGCAACGATTCAGAAGTTAATGATTTTGCATGCGTTGAGATGGGGCATCACGTGTTTTTCTTCTCTGTGATTTGGTTCTTTTTCTGCCCTGGTAGATATACTCTAACTAAATGTGACATTCGTAGGGGATGTATAAGCAAAGCTGGAGCCTGGATATGCAATTTCCAAGAGTGTCTGTGGACCATATCACCGAAATTCAAGCGTTTTACTCTGGCACTGACTCCAATCCGTGTCGCAAGCTTAGCCGTATTTGCATTGCAAAACTGAACAGCTCTGACTTGTCCCCAGGAGACCTACGTTACTTGCATGCGAACAATGAAATGTTTGGAGTTGCATGTGTGAAAGGCCAACCAACAATACGTTTAATTATCAAGAAAAAATGGTTGATTAGTAATATTATTTATTACTCTAACAGCGTAGCATCGTTCAACTTCTTGGAGTTAACTATTCTGCTCAGTGGCGATGTCCACACGATGCCTGGTCCAGTGAACGCTACGACTGGTAGAATGATTCCTGTTCTTACGCGCCACCGAAAGCCGAATCAGTCAACCATTCAACCATGCATGCCCGGAATCCTGCGTATTTTACGAATGTTATGATAATGTAGCAATCACAACCTATGTCTTTGTGCTTACTCAACGTCAGATCAGTCAGAAATAAGGCACTGACTGTAAAGGATTTTACAGTTGATCATGCCTTAGATACACTCTTGATAACTGAAACTTGGCAGAAACCGGGTAATGAGGACGCAGTAGAAATTGGAACTTTGTGTCCTACAGGCTATCTTTTTCTTCATGTTCCTGGACATGATTCTATCACCTTTGGAGGAAGTATTGGATTCCTATAGCGGTTTTCACTTGACTGTCGAATTGGGATTGGTTTTGGTTTTGGTTTTGGTTTTACTACGTCCTTTGGTTGGCTAGTGTATTCAGTGTATTTACTTTGGTTTTGGTTTTACGACAGTCAAGTGAAAACCGCTCTATTCAAGGAAAACCTTGATGTACACACCTCCGTCAGTGAAGAATTTGAGACGTTTGAGCTAATGGATACTCGTTTGAAGAACATCGAGTGTGCTCGTATCCTGTGCACTGTTACCGTCCTCCAGACGATAGCACCTTAATATCCACTTTTCTTTGAAGAATTCTCGCGTTTTTAGAGCGCTTGCTGGCTGATTACTCTAAGAGCCTAATAATTGCGGGTGATTTCAACCTTCATCTTCATGATCCTCCTAACAGTCACGCCAAGCGTTTTCTTTTAGACATGTTGGATACTTTTGGGTTGAGACAACTTGTTCATGGAGCCACCCACAAGAAAGGTCATACCCTTGATCTACTTATCACTAGTCTAAGACTCATTAATCATCCATGACAGGATTAGGCACCCTGGAATCGCTGATCACTATCCAGTGCACTGTGATTTGCGTCTCCAGAAACCTCGCTATTTGTTAAGAAAAGAGTAACTTTTCGCAAGCTGCGTTGTATTGACATGGATTTTCTTTTTAGGGATATTTGTGATTCCAGTCGTTTGCAGAATGAATCCGAAGATTTGAAAGTCTTGACTGAACAATATGACGAAATTTTGTGTTCTGTATTGAATAACCATGCTCCCCTTAAGCAACGTGTTGTAACCATAAGCACATCAGCCCCTTGGAACAACCGGGAAGTGGCCTCGGAGAAAATCAAAAGGAGACGCCTAGAGCGGAAGTGGCGTAAAACGGCTTAGGACATTATATTAAGTCTGACATGGAGTATAGACCACAATTCGCTGTTATGATTGTATTGGCGAGATAGTCTTTGTCAGTGATGAAATACGTACAAAAATACCCCAAAAACCGAACTATGAATCAAAGAAAATTCGAATTTCGATTTTATCCGGGAGACCGGGAAATCGGTGTCGTATCCGGGAGAGTTGGCATATATGCTTTTGGGTAATCACGATCGTGGTTCTCATCAATCAATCGACAATCTCGACCATAAAGATCTTCATTCTCAACCACCAATCGAAAAAACTCAATCATAGCGACCGTGATATCGATCGTGATCATCAATCGAGCACTCGTACCACTTTTGAATGATATCCTCCCCCCCCCCCCATAGTATAGATGCGATACTTTAGATCTGTTAGAACCCGTACAACTAGGAGGAATGTATTCATTGGCTGCGAAGTCTAGTAATAATAAGTTAAGCTTCTTTTTTATGGTAAACTGCAGTTAGCAAAGAGATTTAGAATCACGTCAAGCGCTAAACGCCAATTTGCACTACACGACCAAGTTATTTCTTTACTTGTTGTTTACTATTTATTATATGTACACAATAAGAAGTATTTATGTCAGGTTCATCCATAAAAAAAAAAAAAATACTAAAATCATCCGTTATTAGAAAATTTGCCACCTTAAATCTTACGTTTGGCGTTGCCCGGAAATTAACGTGATTCTAGCTCTCTGTTAGGAACAAATCAACTGGTATACCCCACACAGTCCACACCATCCATAGCAGCTTGGTTCCACACCATGAAATTTTGCTTCTGCCCGGACTCCAGCCTCCCCAGATATCTCCACACTGCGTAAACAGCGCAGGGGTATGGGTTGGTAATAGGTGGTGTCATTACATGACGACGTAATAGAATATCCTCCTGGCAGTTGTTTAGGGTCACCCCATGGAGACAAGGACGTTCCTGACAAATTTTAAAAGAACTAGTTTACTTTTTTCAATATTTGCTTAAAAAAAAAAAGAAAAAGAAAAGGAAAGGAAACAAACAAACAAACAAACAAAATAGCAACAATAGTGAGTGAATTGTTACTCTTCCAATTTCAAAACAACTCTTTCTCTCCTCTCTGGTTCAACTGCTCTATGCTTATTTGTTTGTTGGTTTGTTTTTGACTTGGTTGGTCCCGGTTATGGCAATACTAACCGACGGTAACCTGCGAGGATAAGAAAAGAATCCTCCTACTTGTTACAAGGCAAATGCCACCAGAGCGCTGGCTCAGTATGGTGCCAGTATCATCACAAAACTGTAGATTGATGTACTTCATAAATTTGAAGCTATTCAATGCTTCAAAACTTTCATCTTTGTGTATCAGCCCCACCAAGAGATCTTTGTAACTCATATTACCCTATGAGAAAAAAAGGTGGAGTCCATAAATTCCCGTTATTGATGGATTTAATTAGGCACACATCCTGTACTATATATTTGCAACACTATTAGCGCATTACAACTTTTCGTTTGCAAGGAAATTAGACAAACTTGAAGTTTGTTTTATGTTACTACGATAATGTGGTCATTACACTGTCAATCATGAAAATAAATAATGGCAATTGGACTGAGTGGAGCACAATTTACTCTGTAATCATTCACGTGATTTCAAAATACTCAAAGTAAAATTACTACTTTATTACATTTATTTTGAAAGCGCAAATTGAAACACCCAAATATAGGATTTGAGTCAGTATTAATATTCTATTGTTTCAGTAGATTGTTTGTAAACAAAAAAAAAAAAAAAAAAAAAAAAAAAAAAAAAAGAAACAAAAAAAAAATTAAAAAATAAATTAAAAAAAAAAAAAAAAAAAAAAAAAAAAAAATGAAAAACAAACAACATAATAAAAAAACAAAAGAAAAGAAAAAAAAAAAAAAAATAATACACAATAAAAAAACACA